CGTTCTTTTCTCATCTAATGATTAGTACTGTACCTAATTTCTACTTAAAGAAATATAATGAAAATTGATGATTATAGACAGTGATTAATTTCAAACTATTTTAATTTATTAAATGTCAGTCATGTAGCACTGTATAAATTAAAACATTTTTATATTTCATTAAACTATAAATAATATAACAATCAAAAGACAAATGTATGTTTCATAATGTAATAAAATTACATAATAACATAATAAGTGGATCAAAAAGACTTTTGTTTCATACAAATGTATGTTAATGTTCATTTTATTTTAAATTGTATAAATGATAATTAAATACTTGCTTTACTGTCAATTTTCTAAAATTATTTATTTTTGAATGTAAATTAAGTAAAATTTGTAGTTAAATAGATTTTTATATTAAACTTATTATTTTTTTCAATGATTTTGTATTTTATCACTTATTTATTTGGTCTATTATTTATTATTTATTTAGGTGTTTTATTTTTACAAAAATAATTATTGTTTTGATAAATTTATAAATTATTTAGGATTAAGATATTATTATTAAATATTATATAAATATTATAAATGTTATTACGCTAGGTGCAGTAATAATTATATCAATACACATTTTAGTTATGAAAATAATACAAAAAGATAAAAATTAAACATCTTTTTAAGTTATTAATTTATCTTAAGATAACTACCGATGTCTCTAGTATCTATTCTTAATCACCAAGATTAAGGTATTGGAAGTTTAGTATTGCAAGAATTATTTGTGAAATCTATGCGTGTCTCGGTATTAAAGTAAATTTGTCTATTTTTACCCATCAACGGACCTTAATCAAAAATTTCCGTCTTAGTAATGGGAATATTTGAATTTTTATGGTGAAATTTGATTTATATATGATTTATTGCTATATCATATTGTATAACTTTTAACTTTTGGTTTAATTTGGTTTTTGAGTTTCAAGGCAGTGCTTTATATTTTAGATGCCTTAGAATTATATATTCAAGTACAAAATTCATAATATTTGCTTTAATAGTTTTGAGATATTTTCTTCTAAATTTTAACTATTTACACCTAATTAATTCAGTCATTTTTTATACGTATACGATAACGTTTTTTTTTATCTTCAGCAATTATCGGATGAGGCTTCTTACAAGAACTCAAAACAATAACAACTAATTAGTCAGTTGGAGAGATATTGCAATTACATATTTTATTTCCAATATATTAATATACTTTTAATTTATTATCCATGCTTATTTATATATTTTGTTTTTCTATAACTGCTAGGTTAATTAAGAAAAAGAAGTTTTAACAATTTCAAAAGTTAAACTATCGTTTTTATATTGCTTGTATAGTTACGTGCCAATAAATAAATACAAAAAAAAGTTAGTCGCATTTTAAGAGCATTATTGTGCTGAAAATATATTTTTTGATAACTGTGGGCATTTTAATCCAGACTCGATTCATAAATATAGAAAAAATACAAATATAAAAAATGAATATTGATTCAAATGTCAGTTATATTTAAGTTAGTTGAGAACTTGTTAAAAATTGACTTTTAAATAAAATAAAAAAAAAGTACTTTTGAAAATTGTAATATTATACAAACTAATACAATTAAATTTGACATAATAGTAGATCAATAAATAGTTTTACTATAGTTTTGAAATTATAAAATGGTTTAACAATTAATATTGATGACTAATTATTCTTTATATTTTTTATTTACTTATAACAGTCAAATATTTACATGCCATTATGATAAAAAAAACTTGAACTTTAATCGTTCATAATAAAAAACAGATAAGATTTTCATGTGTATTTACTACATTTTCGATCAAAAGCTTTTTTAATTAAAAATTGTATTGAATTTTAAATACGTTTAAAATAATTTAAATTTACTTAGAATTGAAATGTCATATTTGAAGTACAACAAAAAAACAAAATCAATTTTCAAAAAATAACTATGAGTAAAAAATTCGGTTTTTTCATCAATTCTTTATTTTTATTAATTATTTTAAAAATTACTGACATTTTAAGTATTTTGACCTTTGAATCATTCTCAAAACCAAATAATGAAACAATTTTACTAAACTAAAATGTGGAAAAAAAATATACATATCGATGTAAAACCAGTATATTTATTGTTCCGCTCAATGCTAAGGATTGAAAATAAAATTAAAAAAATTGAATTTTTAATTTATTTTAAAATCATGTAAATTAAAAAATATTTAAGCATATCTGTTAATGTTATTTTTAATTTATGGATAATTATATTTGATTGTTCTATTCGAAATCATTATTGATTATACGCAAAAAACCATTCTTTTAGAATTGCTTTGTTAACTAAAGTTCTATATTTTAGGTTGTTTACTGAACATATAATTAATATGCACAATATATGTATATTATTTATTTTATTTATGTTGATTTTAAAGTGTATTTTACCCTCAATATACACATGTATCTGTCCATTTTTATTATTTATAATTTTCTATTTAGACAGAAAAATATGTGTATACTCAACACCAAATAATTTATTATGCAAAAAAAAAGTATGTACATAAAATGCAACAAAAAGTACAATAATATTATAATTAAAATGTAAAAATAATATAAATATATAAATATTTAATGTATTTTTTTATTTTCACGCTGCGATTAATTAATGTAAAATGCATACTTTAAACAATTTGATACGTAACTATTTATAGCCAAAAATCATGCAAAAAAAAAAAAAAATAAATAATAGTAACAATAATAATGATAATATAGGAATATTGTGATATATACTAATATTATTATATTACAGAATCAATATTAGTTGGTATATTAACTATATAATTTGATATATTATTAACGAGATTACAGTTTTTGATAGTTTTATTTACTGTAAGATTTCTTTCTTTTTTTTTTTTTTTTACTATAGATTACAATAATACAAGTAATGCATTTAATTTAATCACAAACCATTAATATTAATGTTTTCAAATAAATTTAACTAACATTTATTGATATTCAAGATTTATCTTAAATAATCTAAATAACTGCAATTATAAACTTTAAACTAATGAATTAAAAAAAGAAAAAATAATTATAATCATATTATTAGTAATAATTTATTTTTAAACTTGAAAACACAAAATACAAATTAGTAGAAATATTAGAAAAATATTCTGAGTAATAAAAGAAAAATCAATGTCGATATAAAATATACTTTAAGATTACCAGAAAAAATATGATATTGGATTTTAAAAGAGCGATGAAGCGTGATGGTTTATAAAAATGTGTATATGTGTGTGTGTGTTCGTATTTTTTTTTTCATTTAATTTGTGTTTGAAGCAAACTTTATAGTTGAAAATATGCTTTAATCTTCCATTTCAATGGAGTGTTTCTAAAAATTAAAAATTATCCAGTATATTTTATATAATAATGGAAAATTAGCTAGTTGATACTTCAACTATTTGATATTTAGACATAATAATGTTTTAAATGTTTTTGAAGTGTTAGTAGACATTTAAAATAGTAAAATTTTTTTCAAATTTCGCAATTTCTTAAATTACTGTTTAAATAGATACAACTTATTATGATAATATTTTTAAAATATTGACATTAAATCAATAAAATAAAGTCAATTTGTATCGTGAACCTATTCAAATCGTTCTACAGTATTTTCTTATATTAATAATATAATAATCATTGGAATTATTGAAATGATATTATAATTGCAGGTATGCATTTATTTTTAAATTAAATATTAGTTAAACCTAATTTATAATAAATATTAATTTAAGTATGCTATATTATACGAGTATATACTTAGATTATCTGACTAATTATTTCTGCTCAGATTCGTTTATGGTGTATAATATGATTTATCATTAAATTTAAATTGAATACATCCATTACAGTAATCTACCATTAATAATGTGATACATTCAATACATGTTCAATAAGTGCTATAGAACGACATTTAAAGTTTTTAATAATAATAAGACATAGAAGACATTATTTTAGATAATAATAACTATATATAAGATCAATTATAACCATTATAATATCATCATACAATTCTGTGTAAATAAAATAATGATAATTTTAATTAAATACTTCTCTTTTTATATTCATAATTTTAACTTTTATTAACATAAAAATATTCTTACACCTATTCTATCTTCTGAATTTAAGATAGTTAGGTATCTTAATACAAAGACCCTATCAAATCTTTTCACATCTTCAATAATTAACTTAAGTAAAAAAGTAAAAACCGCTGCTTCCAAAAATATTTAGGTAGTCCTAAATTAAAATAAATCACTTTTATTAACTTTTTATAAAATTGTATATTATTTGTAAAATAAAATTTACTATTATTATTATTATTATTATCGTATGTATTTCATTTTGCCTATTATTCAAATCCTGAGAAAAATTTACATTTTTCATACTTATAAACTATAAAGTAACTTCATAACTTTCAAAGTTATTTTTCTATAAGACCTCATGTATCTATAACACAACACTTACTAAAATAAATTTGAATATAATATAGTCTTAAAAAATATAAAAATTGGAACTAGAAAAAAAAAATAACCAATAATAGTAAAAAATGCAACAATAAAAATTCAATAGCTGAACATTTAATGACTCTTTTGGTAATGTATTTAAATATTTGTGATTATAAATTTAAATAAAAGTTTACTAAACTTATACTTATAGCGTCCTTTATAAAAATTATGTATTAGTTTTGTAGAATGATAATAATATTAACCATGAAAATAATTGTTAAATTTTAGTGACATTAATTCACTAAGTAAATTCTTCAGCTCAAAATATCTCCTCGAAAATGATTTTTATCCAAATGAAATATAGATGTTCGTTAAAAATATTTATTCAAATAACAAAAATAATTGTTTAAAATTATAATATTGTGCATGAAAATGTTTTCAATATAACTAGTTCATTTAAAATATAAATTATAATAATTATAATTCTCTGGAATACTTACCCAATACCATTTTAATTGATGTCATTGCAAATAATAGATATTGAATCCCGAAATTATTCCAATAACACCGAGTAACCATTTCCTAAAATAAAAAAAATTAATATTAATTTTTAATACAAATCTATTATTATTTTTTATATATATTTTCATTAAAAATTATTTATTTATTTATTTTAATTAATTAAGATAATATTTTATATTTCAGTTAAAAAGCTGTTTGATTTAGCTTAACTGCGTACATGCATAAAATTAGTATAAAATTATTTGAAAAGTATACATTATCGAGTACAACTTAATTACATATTAAGTAGATTTAAAAAAATGAACTATTAATCCAATAAGATTAATTAAGTTAATATCACTAATATTTGTTATAGATAGTTCTGCAAGATTATCATTTGGACTGTTTTGCAACAAGGATTTAAAGAACAGCTCAGTGTTACAACTTCAAGAATCCTAGTTGTATTGTTGGCTGTAGATTAAATTATTTAATGTGTAATATTATTTGAGAATGAATTGAATCTAAGTGTCTAATCACAAAAGCATTTCCACAAACAATTTAGGTTTTAACTAATGGAAAAGTTTAATATGTTCGCATTATAAATCACATGATAATGAATTAACTGAACAATCATTACGGATGGATTAAAATGCAATACTTAACTAAATGTTTGGTTAGGGTAATACAAATAGAAAATATTTTGTTATCTAATCGTAATGAATATTATCATTTTTACATTTTTAAACAGCCACTGGAGCTTTAATAATAAATTATGATCTTCTTACACCAAAAATATTAATTTAAGTTCAACAATTTTAAAATTATTAGGTATTGATAACTAAATAGCTAATAAAATAAACGAACAGTTAATTGACTACAAGGTTCTGTTATGGTCAGTGATCTCGGTAGTGTATAAGCAGTACAATATTTAAATGAAGAATTTAGTCTTTATGTTTAACGGTTTAGCATATATTGCATTATGTAGCTAAAATATATTTATTGCATAATAATACATAGAATAATAAATATTATTATCAATTCAATTTACACATAACATGCAAATTATACGTTATATCCAAAATAAAATGTCACGTGTGATTTATTATATACCTCTAAACTGTGATTGAAGCTTGGAAATATTTTACAAATCATTAAAAAAATAAAATAATATGTAACCTACACAGTATACAAATAAAACTTATCGTAAAACAAGTTGAATACAATCATTACATACCTATTTTCCTTTTCATATTATATTATTTTTAATTGATTCCACACATAATCATATATTATATAAAGTGATTTTCCATACATACTCATTCTAATTTCTTCGATAGTATAAGTATTCAAAATTTTATTTTCAGAATTTTAAAAATATAGTTAGATACTTTGATATCATATTTTAAAATTCTTGAAATTCGTTAATACTACTTATAAAGTGTCCTGTGGAAATATTAACTTCTGTTTTTCAAAATAAAACTCTTTTTTTCACTGTAAATTATTTAACGTTAAAGTAGTATAAAAATATCACGAATTTGATTAAATACATTATTAAATTAAAAAAAAAGAGGTGGGCATGCTTGGTAAATCACCCCGTATAATCATGATTTGTTGTTTTTAACTTGATTCATAGATTATAATTTATTGTTCTTTAAGTAAAAAAAAAAAAAAAAAATACTTGAAACATTTTTTTTCTTTTATTCTTTAATACTAAATGTTACTGCTTTACTTTAATCATTTTGCCAGATTATTATGACTATTTCAGATATAATAATATATTACCTGTAAGTTTTTTCAAACTTATTCAAGGTAGATAATAAGATAATAATAATAATAATACATAATAATATCTAATATCAACAATATACTAAATTATGTACGAATATAATATATATTATATATATTATAGTTTTTGTCTTAATTAGAAGATACTGATGCATTTCTGGCTGCTATAATATATTATTATAAAAGTTTTTTTAGGCTACTGAAATATATCATTAGTTTTAGTACTCTGAACATTAATTGTAATAAGTAGCTATTCTGAAGATTTATTTATTTGTGGTGTTAAATTTAAAATATAAATGTTTAGTAATCAATATAAAAAAAGTGGAAAAATCTATATCGTTTTGCTGTACAGTTGTAGGTATCGAGTGGTTTTTGTAAAGTGTTAAATTTGAGGTGATGATCTAATAATATAATTGCATACGAAAAATAATTCTGAGCGAAGACGGTCTGTCAACCTACATAACTATAAGTACTATTGGTATTTAATTTTTTTCCGGAATATAGCATAATTGATAATATGGTTTTGAATGTTTTGATCATGTATGTGTTTATCATACATTTTTGGATTTTAGTTTTAGTTAAAGATAAGAACTTAATAATTCTTTTCATTTTTTTTTTTTTTTTTTTAATAAGGTTCTATCTAAAAATTTATTTATTTTTATTTACACACACGCTTCAACTACTTAAATAATATACAGAATTAATGAAATAAATATAATATTACAAATTTACAGATAATGAATAATAATATCGATATTATCAATAATACGAACGTCAACAATTAGTATTAATTTGTTATAGTAATAATAATAATAAACAATATATATTAATTAAACTATACTATATTGTTGTAATAGGATTTCGAGTCAACACCACCTTAGCATAAAACACTATAAATATGTTTTTATTAAAATTAAATAATATTTTAAAGTTAATCTAAATATTTTGTAAATATAATTACGTAAAGTAAAAACCATAATACACGTAAAAGTTAAGTCTCAATGAATAATATTTTTTAACAATAATAAAATAATGAACATAATTTTATTCAGCATTGAAATAGTATAAACTTTTGTCCAAAATTTAATTCCAGAGTTTTAAAAAAAATATGCATTTATATATTTTTAATTTTTTTTTTTTTTTGTCTAATTATGAGCTACTTATAAAAATATTATATTACATTTTTCAAACTTAAGATATTTAAATTTAAATATTTTTTCAAATATTTTCTACAAAATAATTGTAGTTTGTACATTTTTAGGATTCAAATACACATACAAAATTGTGAATATTTTTTTTAATAATTATATTATACTAATATAAGAAAAATTTATGTAGAACCTTGTAATATATTTTCTTGATCTAGAAAATAAATTTTTTTAGCAATTGTAGAAAAAAAACTAAAAAAATTTCAATTATTTATGAACAAAACAAAGAGAGTAAAAAATTATGCATGTATGGAAACTGATAATATGAATATTTTGTGAGTATTTCAAGTTCTTACAGTTAATTGGTCTTGAATTATAAGTCATAACAAAATGACAAATCTGTTTTATAAGAAATGGTTTTTAAAATTTCACGTCTTTTTTTTTTATTATTTTCTCGAAGAATAAAAATTTACTGTTGATCAAGCAATGTACCAAATAAATCCCATTTGCAACCAAAACCCGCATCCAAATTAAAAATCGAATTATTTTCAACACCCCAAAAGATGTAATCATAGACTAAAAAAAAAAATACACATTTATTTACACACACACATACATGTTTGTGTAAAATCAAAACATTTATCACTTCGTTCATAATATAAAATATTTATACATATCATACTCTTCCGTGTGAAATATTCATAGTTCGTTTTACCATTATAGTGAAAGATTTATCATAATATAATAAATCAAATAACAATTAACTAGTTTTTTTTTTTTTTAATTATTTTTTTTAAAATTTTTGAATAAAAGTAAATATATTTAATAGAACTAATAGATATATTTAAATAATATAATATAATATTTTATATCATAAATATTTGACCTATTTAAAAAAAAAAAAAAACATATTATGTTATTTGTGTTTTAAATTATAAGTTTTAGTTTTGAATGTGCATATACATCTCAAATAAGAACAAAATCTTGTTTTTCTATTGTACATACATTTTGTTGTTAATACTATATTATGCCATTGTAAGTTCCATTCTCTGTTAACGTTGTATATGCAGTCTGGACACATCATCTCTGCCGGATATTCTATACATGAATGAGTCTAAGAGAAATCAATTTCGGGTGAATAATGAATAACAGAAGAATATATCTTTTGTTTTTTATGTTCGGATATGGGTGCTCTTCAATGTAATATTTCCTCAAAATACGAAAAAGATATGGACTTCTATTTGTTTGATCACTTATCAATATTTATCAGACACATACCTATATAACTATAATTATATTATATTGGCTACAGATATATGACATATAACAATTACGCTCTAATTCATGTTACATAAAAAAATAGTATTATTTCATTTTATATTATATAGTTATAAAAAATCACTACCATGATATTGCATATAGATACATATTATACGACTATAATATAAAACAAGTTAAATAGATCGATAATTCAATTTTAATAGATACAATAGTCAATATCTGCTACTTATTTAATAACTGTGTGAGTAAATATTACGGTAGGTAATAAAAACATTTTTTACTTCTAACAATTGTTAAAATCACAAACAATGTAAAATATAGATAAGTACTATATATTTTTGTACTTGCTGTTTCGCATTTACGGTCGATACAACATTATTAAATATTTTTTAAATTTTCTAACTTGTAAATCGATTTATACCTGATATTATAGTTGAAACTCTTTATTAAATATAATATTTTCTATTAAAATGCTTTGCTACGATTCAATAATGCCTTTGCTTTTAAATTCTAAATTAAACTTGCAGATATTTGATCTGATGACTGATTTATACATAAAGTATATTTTTAAGAATTTTGAATTATCTTATATTTTGGGTAATAAACTACCTATTTTATGTACAATTGACCGCAAATTTAAAATGTAAACAAGAAATGTTCTTCTTGAATCGAGAAAATGTTTGGTTTCAATATTGATGTAGAACTATTTTGCATTCAATGCAACAAAAATTGGAGAGTATTACTTAACTTTTAAATCTCTAAAAAAATAATATTTTAATCATTCCTTTTATTTTAATTGATGGGACATTTGAATAATCAAGTTCAGAACATTAGTTTAAAGCCTATTTTTGGATTAAAATATTTTAT